CGTTCCGCTCCTTCAGCAGGTTCTTGGTCTCCCGCCTTCTACTGGTCCTACTCCTTCCTTAGAGTGTCCGCCGCCTGTCCAGTCTGAGTCGCAGTTACAGCCCGCCTCCCCGCTGCCTGCTCCTTCTCCCTACACTGGTCCTACTGGAGGTCTTGCTGAGCGTCGTGAGCCTGCGTCTCGTCCTGCGTCTCCTGTTCGTGCTGCTCGCACTAGTCGTCGTGTTCCGCGTCCGCGTCCTCCTGCGGTCCCAGGCACACACCAGATGGCACTGCGTCCTTCCACTGCTCCACTGCGTGTCCCTTTGCCGTGCCCTCCAGAGTCCTCTCTTCCTGCTCTTGCTAACCCGGAGTCTGACTCCCTTCGTGCAACCAGTCCTACTGTCACGCGTCTTCTGGCTACTACTGTCACTGACCCTTCCTTTGAGTCCACTGCTGCGTCTGCCTTAGTTGCTGAGCTTGTCGACTTTGCTGCTCGCTGTCGTCTATACTACGCTGCTAGTCTTGTTGCTGAGTCTGAGTCTGTCTGTCCTCCGTCCGTCGGGGGTGAGTGTGCTCTTAGCACGGACGTCCTTGAGGACAGGCAGGAGGAGTTCCAGTGTTTTGCTGCTGCTTTGCCTCATCTCGTGTCCATGCTGATTGCACCTGAGGGAGACCCAGATGAGCTAGACATCCCGACTCCTCGATCGTACGCTGAGGCGATCGAGGGTCCCTACTCCTCACAGTGGCAGTCAGCCATGGACGCAGAGATGGCTTCCTGGAAGTCCACAGGCACCTACGTCGACGAGGTTCCCCCACTTGGGGCGAACATCGTCAGTGGCATGTGGATTTTCAGGGTGAAGCGGCCGCCGGGTTCTCCGCCTGTCTTCAAGGCGCGTTACGTGGCTCGAGGCTTCAGTCAGCGACAGGGAGTTGACTACTTTCAGACCTTCTCTCCCACCCCAAAGATGACCACTCTTCGGGTGCTGCTGCACATAGCCGCTCAGCTCGACTACGAGCTTCACTCTCTTGACTTCAGCACAGCTTTCTTGCAGGGCAGCCTGCACGAGGAGATCTGGCTGCGCCGCCCACCTGGCTTCACTGGGTCGTTTCCTCCTGGTACCCAGTGGAGCCTCCGGCGGCCAGTCTACGGTCTCCGCCAGGCGCCCCGTGAGTGGCACGACACACTGAGGACTACACTTGCGGCTCTTGGGTTTGCTCCTTCTACTGCCGACCCGTCGCTGTTTCTACGCACCGACACCTCTTTGCCGCCGTTCTACATCCTCGTGTACGTCGACGACTTGGTCTTTGCCACTGCTGACACTGCTGGACTCGCACACGTGAAGTCCGAGCTGCAGAAGAGACACACGTGCACAGACCTGGGTGAACTGCGCAGCTACCTTGGCTTGCAGATCACCCGGAACAGAGCACAGCGCACCATTACCCTGACTCAGTCACACATGGTGTAGCAGGTCCTTCAGCGCTTCGACTTCACGTACTCCTCGCCTCAGGCCACTCCTCTGTCTACTCGCCACTCGCTCTCAGCTCTGCCTTCGGATGAGTCCGTAGAGCCGAGTGGCCCGTACCCAGAGCTTGTTGGCTGCCTCATGTACCTGATGACCTGCACTCGACCTGACCTTGCATACCCTCTTAGCATCTTGGCACGCTATGTTGCTCCTGGGAGACACCGACCAGAGCACATGGCTGCAGCGAAGAGGGTGTTGCGCTACTTGTGCAGTACGTCGGGCATGGGGCTAGTGCTTGGAGGGCGGCGTTCAGTGGTCCTCACAGGTCACGCAGACGCTTCTTGGGCTGACGACCAGGCTACGCAGCGGTCGTCACAGGGTTACACCTTCAGCCTTGGTTCCGGCTCTGTTTCGTGGCGGTCTACCCGCTCGTCTTCTGTTCTCGGCTCCAGCTGTGAGGCCATGGCTGCACAGGAGCTACGCTGGCTCACCTACCTGCTGACTGACCTAGGAGAGCCGCCTCGTTCTCCTCCAGTTCTGTACGTGGACAACAAGGCCATGCTGGCCTTGTGTCGGGAGCACAGACTGGAGCACAGAACGAAGCACATTGCTCTTCGCTACTTCCTTGCTCGTGAGCTGCAGCAGCGTGGTCAGCTGCGCCTTGCTTACGTGGCCTCTCAGGCCAACACTGCTGATATCTTTACCAAGGCACTTCCGCCTTGTGATCATCAGCGCTTTTGTACGATGCTAGGTCTTGTGCCTACTTGGCCTCACTTGCTCACTGCTTGACCTTGCTTGTACTGTGATCCATCTATACCTGCACTTGCTTGTTTACCTTTATATATATAATCTTGCATGTGAACTGGCCTTGTGGCCTTGAACTTGTGCTCGGAATGTGTGGTGACGTTGTGATCCACCCTGAGCTTACTGTGCTTTGCTTGACTGGTCTTGTGACCTCTTGTTCTCCCCCACTTTGCCTATGGGGGTGTGTCAAACTTATATGCTATAGTCTGTGTAGGCTGTAGTGGGGTTGACAATATAGGGTACAACACTTTTAGGTTTTCCTACTTGTACCCACCTGTTTCCTAGTGCACTCATTCCTCGTAATCTTCACAGTACTCACTACTGAGGGAGCTGCTACTGCAGGAGGCACGCGACGGAATTACCTCGGGACATTTTGGGGTAGAAAAAACGCGACAGCAACTGCAGCGGTATTACTACTTGCCGGAGCTGTTGACCGACGTGCAGCAGCACGTGGGCTCGTGCCCCACGTGTCAGGTGATGAAGAGCTCGAGGAAGCGGAAGGCGGGTCAATTGCAGCTGATACCACTGCCCGAGCGCGCCTAGCAGCAGGTTACCATGGACTTCGTCACAGGGTTACCTTTGAACCCTGGGGGTAACGACGCGGTGATGGTCGTCGTTGACAGGTTGACGAAGATGGCACACTTCGCTGCGTGCAAAAAGTCGATCTTAGCCGAGGAGACCGCTCGCCTGTTCATCGCAGCCGTTGTTCACCTGCACGGGATACCAGCAGCGATTATCAGCGACAGGGACACGAAGTTCACCAGCAACTTCTGGAAAAACCTCTGGGACCAGTTCGGGACCAGGCTACAGTTCAGTTCGTCGTACCACCCCGAGACCGACGGTCAAACGGAGCGGACGAATCAGACGATGGAGCAGTTGATTCGTGCCACGTGCGACGACCCCACGACTTGGGAGCAGCAGCTGCCGCTGATCGAGTTCGCGTACAACAACGCCACGCCAGCGACGACGCAGCAGTCCCCCTTCTACCTGAACTACGGGCAAAATCCTACAGTGCCCATGACGCCGAGTCCGGACAATCCAACACCACGTGCACAGCAATTCGCCGAAATTCTGCAAGCTGCCCGCACCAGAGCCGCAAAAGCAATTAAAAAAGCAAACGTCATCGCTAAGCGCAACGCTGACCGCCACCGCCGCCCAGTCACATACCAGTCAGGGGATTACGTACTGCTCGACACGCAAAATCTGCGACTGCCCGACGTACCGAAACTTCGACTGCGCTACTGTGGCCCAATCTAAATCAGCCACATGATCACGCCAGTATCCGTGCACCTACTGTTACCGACCGACTGGTACATCAGCCCATCGTTCCACGTCAGCCTACTTCGCCCATACATCCCAACCACCAGCCAACTGCCTCGTCACTGCCCGCATTCCATGACTCGCCCTACATCGGAGCCGATCATCGAGCCCGAAAACATCATGAGCCATCGGATTCGCCACCCCATGGGAATCAGGAGGATTGAATTCCTTGTTCGCTGGAAGGACCGCACGCTATCTGAAGATAGCTGGGTGCCCCTGGCCAACATTAAAAACCACCTTGCCCTGCAAGTGTACCTGAGGAGCCGGGGATTCCGCGATATACATGCACTCGCGTAGCGGAGGGGGCTTCTTGAGGGGGGGGGGTAGTGTAAGGAATTTTCTCGGCATTCCTTACGGAGCCCGACTACATCGTGTACAGCAACAGCCGTTGTTCGCCCGTTACTGCTAACGGGACTTCGCCAACTTCACGCGCACTGTTTTGCCAAACCTCGCACTGCTGGCCCGGCCGTGTCGGCCTTCGCTTCGGGACTAGCCCGAGCCTCGCTGCCAGCGTAGCACTAGCTAGCTCGCACGCACCGCGTTACCGTTTGCATGTTCGCATATAAATGTTCGCTCATGCCTTCGCTCACATCTTTGTACTCGTTTGACACCTTAGTGCAATTCTCGCTACTTCGATTCATTGCACCCGTAACAAACAGACATATCTGTTACAGCTCAGAGTATCCGAAGCGAGGTTCGGTTAGAAGCTAGTTCTCGACCAAACCTAGTCCGTTCAGCTTCGAAAATGTCAAACTTTTGGTTGTCTGACGTTGGCCAACCAGAAGGGAACGACAGGCCTGGTGCCGAGGTTCGATGAGGTTGGTCCGCCGAATTCTGTCTGTGCGTTTGCATACTGCCACGCCAGCATTCCGCTGACCAGGTTGCCTTTTGTACCATCCTGCTTTCCTCCGATATGTGATCTTAGTGACCCGACATTCTTGGTTGTAACCACATTGGGTATGTATTTCGCTTTTCTATCAAAAGCTCTTTGCACATCACGGTTCGCTTTCTGGAAACACGAAAAAAGCTGTTCAATTCTGACTTTCGCGAAGGCGCTCTCCTCGCAACGTTACCGATCGGTTAGTACCGTGACACACCATCGGCAACAGATGCGTAAACCGTGGAACTCGTTTTGGAGAAGATCCCGAAGTACAGCAACAAACGAAACATGTGTGTGAACACGCATGCAAGTGTTCCACCCATCCAGCACTGTCGTCCTGGCTGTTTTCTAAGTTGCAAGGAAGGATTGCAATCCGGTGCAATATTCCCCCATTTTGAACGATTCTCCCACCCAACCTCTCATTTCATCCACCACCCTCTTGCAGCTCTCCTTTTCTTTCACCACGACCGCTAAAACCTCCAAGAAGCCCCACGAGTCTCCCCCTCCGGCTAAGTTAGGCAAAGAGGAGGTTGATTTGAAAGCCTTTTGGAAGCCATGGCTGCTGCCACCACATCCGCCTCGTTTGCCACCTTCAGCGGTCTTCGTGCCGAAAATGTGCGTAGCTTTTGTTCCGTACCGTGGTTTCGTCTCTTTTGTTCCCCCACTTCCATTGTTGGTCCAATGCCATACGCCGTTGCCTCTTTCAGTCCGGCTCGCCTCTGCATTGCGTCGAAGCTCCTCCGCAAGCCCCGTATGACGTGTTCCTGCTGCAGCCTTTTGCGCCGATTTGCGTTCTTAACCACGTCCGTTCGACCTCGTCGACATCCCCTAATACGGACTCGCAATTTTCCGAGACATTGCATGCACCGCTTATCGGCACGCGTCTGAAGTCTTTACCGTCTAGTCGCCGAGAGGTTCAACAGCAATGGCTCCGCGACAGCGACGCAGCAGTCGTTGTTCGGCTCTCTTCTCTTCGCGCGACAATCGCGTGCCTCAGCAGCGCACCCTCCTTGATTTTTCTCCCGCCTTTATCTCGGAGTGCCACGTCAACCGCAAACCTGCCGTTCCCCCCACCATCTCATCCCCCTGTCTTCGCGACGTTCGTCGAGTTAATGCGGCAACCCCTGTCAATGACCTTCCAGCCTCCCTAATTTCACATGATTGCACTTTCCGCCCTCTTCCCCTCCCCTCCCCCTTGCAGGTGTCCGCGCCCCTTGCTGCAGTGACGCTCCCCGCAGCCGCGTCGCCCGCGCGGCTGGCGGTGGTGGCCACGAAGAAAGTGGTGAAGCGGAAGCAGGTGAGGCAGAGACTGAGAGGCGATGTGGAACGGCGGAGGGGAGTGTGACGCGGACGAACGTGCGTAGTGGGGTGATTAAGCAGTTAGAGCGGAGGGCACAAATGATGTTGCCTGGATGATTGAGGGAGGCGGGAGACGGGAGGCGGGGAAGAGGAGCAAGTGCGGAGGAGGGTGTGAGAGAGCCATAGGCAGCATAATGGGAACAGGAGAGGAGATAGGGAAAAGAAAGCGGAAAGAGATGAGGGGTGAAAGGAAAAGGGAAGTAAATGGTCGACCGGAGGAGGCGCGGGAGACGAGAGGGTAGAAGAGGGGGGTAAGTGGGGGTGGCGGGGAGGAGGGGGGTTAAAGGGCAGTGTGCCGGTGTGAGGAACAGACCTTTGCTCGACGTCGCTGTATCTGACACCCTTGCTCCCACTTTATCGCTCTTCCGTTCTCCCTCGTTTTCCCCCGTTCTCCCTTGTTTTCCCTCGTTTCCCCCCGTTTTCCCCCGTTCTCCCCCGTTTTCCCCCGTTCTTCCCCGTTCTCCCCCGTGCCCCCGCAGATCATATTGACGAAGAACGTGCCGAACGTGGGCAAGGCGGGCGAGCTGCTGTCGGTGCGGCTGGGCTTCTTCCGCAACTTCCTCTTCCCGCAGGGCTTCGCCAAGACCGCCACGCCGCAGATCCTCAAGTGCGTGCGCGCACTGCCTTCAGATTAAGATGCCGTTGCCGCACGCACACGCAGTCGCCTTGCTGCCGCTGCCACGCCGCACTTGCGCGCCGTGCTTTGCTGTGCGGTGGTGTTGTGTTGTGTTGTGTGCCGCGCTAACGGGCGCGCAAAGAGCTCTGTTTCATTCCGTTTTCTGTGCCCCGTGCTTTTGCTTGTCTATGGCGCGTGGTGTTTGTGGTGCGCAGGGAGATCGAGGAGGAGCAGGCGCGGATCGAAGCTGAGAAGCAAAAGGTGAACTCCCATGCTCTTTCAAAGCTGCTCTCTATGATCGTCATCATGTGTTGTATACTCTGCCTTTCTCCCCTCCCCTCTCCATCCTTCCCTCCCTCCCTCCCTCCCTCTTCTCCCCGTCTCCCTCCCTCTCGCCCAAGGCACTCGCACTCGCGCACGGCGCACATGCACACGTTCACTCACCCCCCCTGCAAGCGCGACCATGCGCCCCTTCGTCTCCCCCCCTGTGCGCCTCCCCCTCTCCTCCTCTGCCTCTCCGCCCGGCTGTCCCCGCAGGTGCTGGAGGAGGCGCGCAAGGTGGCGCGGCAGCTGCAGACGGTGGGCGGGCTGACGGTGAGGCGCAAGGCGGGCGCCGGCAAGTCCTTCTTCGGCTCGTACGTGCTGCCGCTGCCCTGGGGGCCACCGCGGGTGGTTCACAGCATGGATGGGGGGGAAGGGAGGGCGAATGGAGGAGAGTGTAGAGGGGGGAGGGGTGGGAATGGTGGTGGAGGGGTGGGTGAGGGCGTGAATAAACGGTACTGAGTGTTGTGTGCGGAGTGATGGGCGCACCGAGCATGCGCGTGTGGCAGTGGTGTCAGGAGCCTTGCTGTGGAGGAGGGGCAGCATGTGGGTGGAAGGGAAGGGACAGTCGTGATTTATGCCATGGTGTTTCTTAAATGCGCATCCACCCACTTACCCACTCACCAATAAGCACAGTTACGCATGGACATGTGTTTCTCATGGTTCACTTTGCTTACACCTCCGATGACCCACCCTTAACCGCCTACTCCCTCCCCCCCCCCCCGTGTGTGTGTGTGGGCGTGCGCGCGTGCATGGCAGTGTGAGTGTGAACGACATTGTGGACATCATCAAGGCCAACATCAACAGGTTAGAACTCCCCCTTTCCTCCCCCCACAACCCCCCAACCCCCCCCTTCCCCTCCCCACCCCCCTCACCACCGCCACGCCTCTTGCTGTGATGCCGGCAAGATGCTCGCCCAAGCAGGCCCCAGCCTTACTGCTCGAGTATTGAAAGGTTACTGTCTGTGTTCAATCGTGCATGGCGCTCCACTCATCTTGCTCCTGCTGGCGTGTGTGCTATGGCGTTACGTACGTGTGTGTGCCTGTGCTTACCATGTGTGCATGATACGACCCCCACGAGCAGGGAGATCCCCAAGGCGGACATAGAGCTGCCGGAGATCAAGGAGGTGGGGCAGTACACGGCTTCCATCCGCCTGCACCCAGAGGTCACTGCCGACGTGCGCATCAACGTCGTCGGCAAGTAGACTGCACGCGCCTCACTGCTCACAGCTCGCTGCTTGCACTCCAGGATAACACGGCCACGTGTGCACGATGTGTTGGCATGATAACGAGGGTTTAGCGGGAAGGGAAACATCGTAAGGGCTGAAGCTGCAACTGTGGTGTATTTTTGTCAGCAAGAGGTTGTCGACGAAGTAAAGTTTGTAATGCTTCAACATCTCTATATTGGTGCACACTTGAGTGGTTTTACAGAGTACAATAGCCCATGTCCCTCCCTGCCAGCTGCTTTCGTAAGTATGTAAATGCTTTGCACAGACCATCTTGTGCATCTTCACCATCTATGCCCCAGCGACCAGGCCTCTCGATATCAGGGTAAAACACCCTTATGGCCCTTACTATAAGGGTGGGTTTAGGTGATCACCCTTGTTTTTAAAACTTGTTTTCTGAGGCACCCTTAGCCGAAAAAGTGTTCATTTTGTTAACACTGATTTTTAAGACAGGCCTGGTGTACTCGCCCTGATGACAAAGACTAGTGTCGCGTACCACCCTGATGAGATTTCACGCGGCGGGGGGGGGGGGGGGGGGGGGGGGGGGGGGGGGGGGGGGGGGGTACTGACGAGATTTGGGCCGTGATTAGCGGCGTTTTGCTTGAGTCAGCAGATGTGCGCGTCGCCTTGACGGCTCGCGTCGCCACTGCCACAGGCTCGTCAACTATACCTGGCTCACCTGCAATCTTCCTAGCTGGCAATGCCGCGCAGCGCCACACACACCTGCTTCGTGCAGGAGGTGTGTCCAGCATGGAAGCTTCTTCTTCCCTCCCCAGCAGGCTCCCACCCACCGACCAGTCTCTCCCACGCACCCAACCCAGTCCTCCTCGTCTCATTTCTCAATTCTGCCTCCTCGCTATCTCGTCTGGTCTAGGGTTTGCTTTGCACACCACCCCACCACCACGCTCTCCCAACAGCTAGCGTAGGCCCAGCTCCTGCAACCACCCATCTGGCCCTCGTCATGGCTGCTGACGAAACCACCGATGGTGACGACGAGGCATGCCGTGAACTCCAAAAATCACCCCCGCGAACGGGCCTCAGCTTTCTACGAACCCCCGTTAAGAAGCTGTCAGATCCGGAGCCCGTAGTTGCTTCAACCGAGGACGAAACCCGCGCAGATGATTCAGGGCCTGACCTGCGCTCACCTGAAGTTTGCACTACCACGGCGGAACCCTCACCTCCAGAAGCGACGGCTACTGAAACGGAGATAGGCGATGCGGCTGGCGACTCTGCGAACAAGAAGCGCAAAGAGTCAAGCGGTGGCAGTGCTACGCAGTGGTGGCGACAACCGAAGCCCTCTGTGAAGCGGGCGGCACGTCCAATCCGACGAGTGGAGGACGAGGGAAGTGATGACGAGGAGGAAGAAGACGGCCTGCCAACTGTCGAAGAGATGGCCCGTTACCCCGAGGTCGCTTTCGCTAAAGCGCATAAGCGATTTAAGACTTCATGGGATTCTTTGTTTCCGTGGCTAATTCTAACTCGTGATGACGTTGGCTTCCCCATTTTGAGATGCAGCACGTGCTTGGAACATGGAGCTGAAGGCGCGAAAACGGCTTATGGCAAGGGAGGCAGTGGAGGGCGTGACATGCAGAAGGGGAGCATCCGGACGCACCAGCGCTCCACCGCACACCAGGACGCACACGCCGAGATGAAGTCGAAGGAGAGCCGGAAGCTTCGTCAAACGCTGCTGAGCGAGTTCGAGGGGTTGGATCGCAGCACTCTTCACATCATCACTGCTCTCAAGACTACCGTGTACATCTGCAAGTCGGAGGCGCCAATCACCTCCTACGTGGGCACCATCAAGTTCATGGCCGAGCTCGGAGTCCCGAACCTTCCCTTGGATTCCAAGGGAAACTACTTTTCGGAGTAAGTTTCGGGGTACTTGGTGTCGTTGTACTGGTTCCGTTACAACTGTCTTGATTGATCACGTGCTAACCTCTGTGCTTGTATCATACAGGTACGGTTTCGGGGAGCTGCTAGAAGCTGCAGCGAAGTACATGCGGCAAGAGCAACTGAAGCAGATCGAGGCGAGCCCGTACATCTCCATTCAGCTCGATGAGAGTACTGACAAGGCGCGCGGCAAGCACATGATCGTCTACGTCCACTTCATGAAGGAGGGAGCGAGCGTCTGCGAGTTCCTCATGCTGCTGACAGTTGACAAGTGTGACGCGGCAAGTCTAGTCGACGTGCTACTGACCCACCTTGACGCCGTGGGCATGGACGTGTCCAAGATTGTTGGAATCAGCACCGACGGCGCCAGAGTAATGACGGGCACCAGCAATGGTGTTGTGGTACGACTCCGGCAGCGGAATCCCTATCTCGTGTCGTGCCACTGCATCGCACATCGGTAAGTCCGTCATTGTTACTGGCTTTATGGCAGGTGTGTGTTGATCATGTACTGCCCACTCACTTCAATCGCTCGTTTCCTCCGTTCTACCTTGAGCAGGGAGGCGTTGGCCGCGAAGGATGCCGCTGAGAAGGTGACGGAGTTCAACATTATAGACCAGGCGGTGCGCAACGTGGCGGAGCAGCTTTCTAGGTCGAGCAACTGGCACCGGCGATTCGAGCACCTTCAGGAGTACATCTGCGAAACCAACCTGGAGCTGCAGGGGATCCACGACGTGCGATGGCTCTCTAGAGGAGAGGCAGTCAAGCGGTTTGCCAAGGTTCTGCCGGCGACAATCGTCCTGCTGTACGATTTCAAGCACGCGCTATACGAAACGGTCACCTCTTTCAAATTCCACTTCATGCTTTTCTTCCTTGCAGACATTCTTGCCGTGCTCAACGAGCTCAACGCCAAGTTCCAGAAGCAGCAGGTGACATGTGGAGTGTTTTGGTTGTACATATAGGCGTTTGTGTCACTGCCATGTTCCCGGTTGGTGTGCGCCGTTCTGACCCATTGTACATCAACCTCTGGCAGCAACTATTCATCCCACGCCCACTCACAGGTTGACATCACTGTGCTCGCGGGGGAGGTGTCACTCGCTTGCCGGACGATCGAGGTGCGTTACGTGGACTGCGAGGATCGTTTCGGCAACGATCAGTCGCCCCTGCTCTGTGCGTTCCTGAAGAAACACGGCAACCCCCAGCACCGCGAAGTCACCGTCCAAGGCGTGGACCAGAACGGCGAAGCTGCAGAGCACGAGTTCGTGCTTCACGAGCGCAAGATCCCAGGCCATAAGACTGGCGGGGACTACTATTCCTGCAAGGTGGTGTGCCAGGAGTTTGCGAGGGTCTGCGTTGCGCGACTGGAGTTCCGCCTTGAAGACCTCAAGAACCTGGCCGGCTCCAAGCTTTTCCGGCCATCGTGCTATCCCGATGACAACGCGCAGCGGATGAAGAAGTGCCGCGAGTGGTTGGGCATGCTAGACCACATGTTTCACCACCGCCTCTGTGGTACGCCACCTGGTTGTGCCTGCAATGTGCTGTCTGCTGTGTGTGTGTGTGTACCTTGGTGTGCTGTTAAACACCTCCTATACGCCCTGATCGCCCCTCTCACTGCTCTGCTCTCCCATCCTGGCAGGTGTGTGCTTCAAGGCGTGCGAGAGGGAGCTACCGTTGTTTCTCCACACCATGGATACCAACCACGGGAACATGAGCTTCCACAAGTCGCTCTCGCTCATGCTCCAGTCAACTGACTACGTGGGAGCGTACCCGAACCTTGTGCAGCTGTGGCAGGCCGTAGCTGTGCTCCCCCTCAGCACGGTGGAGTGCGAGCGGGGCTTCAGTCGCCAGAACCGTATCAAGACGTGGAAGCGGACCTGCCTGGGCGACGCCAAACTGGGCGATCTGATGACTGCAGCGCTCCTGCCCAGTGATGGTCTGAACTGGGTGAATGTGGTAGCCGTGTTCAATGCTAGCAAGAAGCGCCGTCCTGCCCAGGAGTTTTTGTATTGATTTTGCTACTCTGCTCCCTGCTAGGAGTATTCTGCTGGAACCAGACCAGGCCAGACCATCCCATATGTAGGTCCTGTTGTTGTTCTAGTTCTAGTCATATATTTTATTGTTCTTTGCACGTCATGTCAACATGAAAATTTTTGAATTATATTTCAAATTTTAAAGATTGTGACAAGACTTGTAAAGGAGCATGCAGTAAGGAGTCAAGTGCTCCTTATCTTGTGGCAGGTCCACGGACCTGCCACCTAGTCCATTTCATTCGTAGATCTGAATCTACAAGCACACACATGGAAACTATCAACCTCCCTGCCATTGCCGCCTCTATGTTATCCTGCTCCTAACGCCGCCGTACTTGACGAAATCACCACTTATGCTTTTTACGAGTGAAACCATCTTCGTCGGATGTTGCTGCGGTGGTGCGTTCAGAGTGTGCATGGCGAGGTTGTTTACTGCTGCTGGTGCAGAATGATGAAAGTGCGGGATATAGCATTTGACAGCTTCTGCTAGTGCGATTAATGTCGCAATGGCTCCTACCACCTGCTGCCGTTGCGCGATCGCCGCGGCTGCACAATCGATAAGGTCGTCGCGTAGTCTGCGGCTGCCGTTACCACGCAATCTGCGGTCCCTGCGGTGAGATTTGGTGCTGGTGTTCGTGGTCGATGCGGTTGCTGTGATTTCTGCTGTTGCGGCTCGCGATTTGCTGCAGGTGCTTCCGATTTGCTGCTGTTGCTGCGAGATCTGTTGATGCGGCGAGATTTGCTGCTGCGATCTGCTGGTGGCGCTGCGAGATCTACTGCTGGTGTTCGGATCTGATGCCGCTCCTCGCGATTTGCTGCTGCTGCTCGCGATTTGCTGCTGCTGCTCGCGATTTCCTGCTGCAGCCCGCGATTTGCTGCTGCAGCTCGCAATTTGCTGATGCAGCTCGCGATTTGCTGCTGCAGCTCGCGATTTGCTGATGCAGCTCGCGATTTGCCGCTGCTGCGAGATCTGTTGTCGACGATTCGCGAGCTGCTGCTGACGCCGCGGGATCTGCTGCTGACACTGCGCGAGCTGCCGCTGAATCCGCGCGCGCTGCTGCTGACGGTGCAGGAGTTGCTGCTGATGCTGCGCGATTTGCTGCTGATGCTGCGCAATCTGCTGCTGATGCTGCGCGATCTGCTGCTGGTGCCTCGCGATCTGTTGCTGGCGGCGTGTGGTGCGCGATCTACTGCAGGTGCTAAGGAGGTCGCCACTGGTGGCGCTGCTGTGGATGGTGTACTGCACTCTGTGGATGACTTCTGTTGCTGCTGGTGCTCGTGTTGGTGCTGCCGTTGCAGCTGCTGGTAGTGCTGGAAAGCACTCATACCTATAGGAGTGCTCAGTGCAATCTCAGTGATGGCCTTTTAAGGTCATGGCCTTATAAAGATTATGGCATTTTAATTATGGCCTTATAAGATTACGCCTTTGCAAGACAACACGGCAAAATCTCGTTGCTGTGAAAAAAAAAAAAAAAAAAAAAAAAAAAAAAGGGCCAGGCGTATGATAAAATTCCAAAAATGATACGTATTAAAATAAAGAGTTAAGTAATTTGGCATTTGCCAGGGCTAATTTCTATTTTATGCGTTACCCTTTCGAGCGAAATAGATCATTTCTTAAATCCCTGGTTTTTATATAAAACCCAAAACAATTGGACTATGAAGTTCTTCCACCCAATGGGTCGCATCGCGAATGTGCATAGGACATGCATTACTATTGATACCGAGATATCGGTCAGTTGCGCTTACACCACCATTGCTACCGGTAATAATAATAATAAAAAAAAAGGGGGCAATATTGGCGTTTGAAGTTGTTTATGGCGTAAATATGCCCTCTACCAATTACGATATCGTATATCACTCATTCGATTTTCCACGTTGAAGTTGCTGAAACTACACGTGGAGATTAAACGTTGGGTTTGGATTGGACATTTGGTTGTCTGCCATTCTGAATGACATGAGCTTGGTGGCTGGGATCAACCGCTTGAGATGATGAAGTCTTTGCTCGCGGTATTGTTTTGCAAAGTTACACGTTTGTTTTGGACGGAACTGCCAATATCAATCACGGTAGTTACCAGCGTTCCCATGCGGATTTTGCGAACATTTGACGTAACGTCTCTACATGCGGGTTGGCGTTATCAACCCTGGCGTTTGCCAGGTTCTTTTTGCCATTGCCATTATTGTGACTCATTTGACGTTCTTCTTTGAGATTGTCATGTTTGGCATAAGAATTGTAGCAAGGGCTGCCTTTTGAAGAAACCAATCCATCATAACAGACTTTGCATTGGCCTTACAAGTACAGTACATCCGTTACAAAGGTTCCTTCTTTACTCTGTGGCTATATGGCAACATGCATGTATACATGCTTAAGGGTTTATTCGACGACACCGCGTCTTGGCATCCGGTCAAGGAAATTAGAGCGTGGTTTCTTCTATATACTCACACAACCAGAATTCTATTGGTCATTATTGGATATGAAAAACCATCCCCACGCAAACACTATGCAGGGTATAAGGGTATGCCCTACTGTGGGTCGTGATGAGCATCTTGTCCTCGCGTTTACGTTTGTATCGACACGGAATGTGTCACAACCACAACAATGATCTAGCCTGCCATCTTACAAAGTATTTTGCACGTGCGTCGGTGTACTCATGGATCACTTCAGGTTCATCTCACGAGCATATGTTCATTCTTCGTTGGTTGTTTGAACAGAAAAGGCACGTGCGTGTGCCTCTTTGGTACGATGCTGCGGAAAGCATTATCATGAACAAAGTGTCTATCCAAACTCGGCTCGTGCTTGTGTCATGAGCACCTCCGCTACGAATACTTGCATTGTGGCCTTACGCGCACACTACTTTGCGTTTGCATTGGCACAAATCTTCTCTACGCATCTGACGCAATATGTTCCACCCTACGACGACGGTCTCGTGAAGAGGGTCTCGTCTTACGTGTATCCTGGCAAGTACGGATTTTTCAATGATGCGTTTTTCATCTCGAAAGTTGTGATGCCCATGATCAAAGTTGACGAACAACCGCTTTTCCTTGGCATTGAAATATGCGGTCCATACTGTTTTCGCAAGTATTACGCACAAATGATACACACGTACATATATCTGAATGCCTCAATCCTCAGTATGTCACCTCACAAGTGATTGACAGCGGTGAAGCATGTACAATTTTCGAAGCCTTTATTCTCAACGCTGCCTTGCGTTATGCATTACATAAATAAGTCATTGTTTAGCCAATGCCATTCAGAATCTCATGCAATCTAACGAGAGCCATGGTTTTCTTCTCGACCATGTAGCGCTGGTCGCGTCAGCGTGCTACGGAGTGATAACATCATCAGAATCACATAGTCAAGACCGTTCATGCTCATGTACGGGCCATTTTTATCGCGCTATTGCATCACCATGATAACATCGACCAGACCATTCGTGCTCATGTACTGACCAATATTTATCGCGCTATTGTACACCGCGGACAATTCGTTACCGTAGTTCTGTCTTGAACAAGCACACGCCTAAACACTTTGGAAAGCTTCTATGGCCCGTAACTTGGAAAGCTTGCAAAGGTGTTGAATTCTTCAGTGCAAGATAGATAATATCCTTGTTGCTTACTCTCGGTGATGCTTGCGAAGCCTTCTTTGCTCTCCCCAATTTCATGGAAATTCTCTTCCCGGTCCACCCGATAAGAAGCGTAATGCGTAAAAATCAATATTTTTTATAGTAAGAATAATCATTCTTTTTACTTACATACCTAATGTCTCGTGCAACCTATGACGACTGCTCTGCAGACTCCTTGAAGAGTCTTGTCTTAATATGAAAATTTTTGAATTATATTTCAAAATTTAAAGATTGTGACAAGACTTGTAAAGGAGCATGCAGTAAGGAGTCAAGTGCTCCTTATCTTGTGGCAGGTCCACGGACCTGCCACCTAGTCCATTTCATTCGTAGATCTGAATCTACAACCCACCCCTCCCTCCCTGTAGAGAAATTCTATTCATACATAAACTAGTTTAGATACAAATCATTATGTTGATTTAAGTTACCACTATTTGTAATTTGTAATCTAGTGTGCTGTATGATTGAGATCTTAAATCCTATGACGACTGCGACCTATGACGACTGCTCTGCAGACTCCTTGAAGAGTCTTGTCTTAATCTAAACATTAAGTGTTGGTTAAAAAAAAATGGTACAACTAACCGAGGTCCACAGTACACTGACGAGCACGAGTAACAATGCAGCCAACACTGATACACAAGACTGACATGGCTGCCCAACCCTTACTGAAAGACCAGCTTTGGCAGCCTGCCCTTTCGACTAAGAGTGCTTCCAAACCTATCCAGAGGCCTGCCAGCGACTGATGAGGTGGCGACAAGCTTGAACATGTTGACTTGGACCCCGCCTACCAAATCTGAATGTGACAGAGTCTTGCGAGACGCGCTCCATTGCACTCGCGGCGAGTTCATCTAGCTTGGAGCGTCATGTGCCATTCGAAGTACCGTATCATTCAATCGTCATTTCAAACTGCTCCTCTCTTCTAGCATATTCTGAGCTTCACAATATGCAGCATAAGTTCGAAGCATTATTTTCAGCCGTTGCAGATGCTGCAATCCCACCTTTCCCGTACCTCGAGCTTCACCCATCACCTCTTCAAGGTCTGGCTTGCGCCTCGAGAAATCATCGAGCAACAGCTGCGCCCGTGACTGGAGCTCTCCCATTTTATAACACTCCAGCTCCTTCCTTTCCTGAGCCTCCTCCATCTCCCCTGTTTGGAGCCCATGCGAGTCCATGGTTCCATCCTTCTCTGCTATGTTCTTACACCTCTCTTCCCTCTCTTCTGAGTAACCATTAGCGTACTCTTCCTCTTCATCCTCTGCCTCTACCTCCCCTCCTCCCTTCTCTCTCATCCCTGCTTCACCTGCATCCTTCTCCCTTTCCCTCTCCCCTCTTCTCCCCGCTTCTCTCGCCGCTCCTCTCCCCACCCTCTCATCTTCTCCATGCTCATCGGTTTCAACAAGTGGGTGCATCAAGATCCGTGTGGGTACCTCACGGGCCTCACCTGTCATACGCCTTTCCCCCACCCTCTGCTGCTCTTGCTCCAATTCATGTTGCTGCTGCAGTTGTCGTTGCTGCTGTTCCGTCTGGTAATATTGCCGCCACTGCTGCTGCTGCTGCTGCTGCTGCTGCTGCTGCTGCTGCTGCTGCTGCTGCTGCTGCTGCTGCTGCTGCTGCTGCTGCTGCTGCTGCTGCTGCTGCTGCTGCTGCTGCTGCTGCTTCTGCTGCTGGTGCTGCTGCCGTTCCATTCCTCCTCCCCGTCCCACCACCACTCCCCCTTTCTCCCCTGCCGCTCGTCCCTTCTCCCTGCGCCTGTGCGCCTGCCACAGAGCAGAGGCACTGATGGCCTTCACTAGCTGGAGCTTCTTGGCTTTAGCGGGCACAGAGCACCCCAGCAGCAGCGCCACCACTCTCACAACATCCCGCTTCTCCTGCTGCACGTCCTCCTCTGCCCCCGCGCACCGCGCAAAGAACAGCTCCTGATAGCCCTGCTTATAACGGGGGATGGGAAAGGTCGGAGTGACTAGGACAAATGAAACTGAAGCTTTTCCTCCGCCGCACACCACGCAAAGACTAGCTCCTAATGGCTCTGTCTATAACGAGGATACATACAAGTGGGAGTAAGAAATAATACTGACAACTCTGCTCGTAATGAAAATGAACCCACACCAAAGCCTCACCTGGACATTACTCGTGCCTTACCTTGCGTTGCATGCAATGAGCTCCACCTGTACCCTTGTGGCATCGGAACAAGCCGTTGTATTAAGGGCATGAGGGTTGCCTCGGGATGCGTTATTAAGCACACTCCCCTCCAGTTCACCTGCCGGCAACTCGCTCTCCTCCATGTATCCCCACTCACTCCAACCTCCCTCCAAAGAGTATCGCACTGTGCCTTACCTTATACCGCCCTCTCCACTCATGCTTCCCCTGCACCCATGCTTCCCCTGCACCCATGCTTCCCCTGCACCCATGCTTCCCCTGCACCCATGCTTCCCCTGCACCCATGCTTCCCCTGCACCCATGCTTCCCCTGCACCCATGCTTCCCCTGCACCCATGCTTCCCCTGCACCCATGCTTCCCCTGCACCCATGCTTCCCCTGCACCCATGCTTCCCCTGCACCCATGCTTCCCCTGCACCCATGCTTCCCCTGCACCCATGCTTCCCCTGCACCCATGCTTCCCCTGCACCCATGCTTCCCCTGCACCCATGCTTCCCCTGCACCCATGCTTCCCCTGCACCCATGCTTCCCCTGCACCCATGCTTCCCCTGCACCCATGCTTCCCCTGCACCCATGCTTCCCCTGCACCCATGCTTCCCCTGCACCCATGCTTCCCCTGCACCCATGCTTCCCCTGCACCCATGCTTCCCCTGCACCCATGCTTCCCCTGCACCCATGCTTCCCCTGCACCCATGCTTCCCCTGCACCCATGCTTCCCCTGCACCCATGCTTCCCCTGCACCCATGCTTCCCCTGCACCCATGCTTCCCCTGCACCCATGCTTCCCCTGCACCCATGCTTCCCCTGCACCCATGCTTCCCCTGCACCCATGCTTCCCCTGCACCCATGCTTCCCCTGCACCCATGCTTCCCCTGCACCCATGCTTCCCCTGCACCCATGCTTCCCCTGCACCCATGCTTCCCCTGCACCCATGCTTCCCCTGCACCCATGCTTCCCCTGCACCCATGCTTCCCCTGCACCCATGCTTCCCCTGCACCCATGCTTCCCCTGCACCCATGCTTCCCCTGCACCCATGCTTCCCCTGCACCCATGCTTCCCCTGCACCCATGCTTCCCCTGCACCCATGCTTCCCCTGCACCCATGCTTCCCCTGCACCCATGCTTCCCCTGCGCCTGCACCCATGCTCCACCCATGCTTTCCATCCAGCAAACACTCACCTGGACGGCATCAGGGTTGGCGCGGATGAGCGACCGAATACACGCTTCCACCTTCGCTCCTAGCACCTCCCTCTCCTCCATATACCCTCACTCACTGCAACCCTCTTTCCAAAAGTTTTTGCAGCATGCCTTACCTCACTCCACGCACGCATCCCCTGCACCCATGAAGCATCCCCTGCACCCATGAAGCATCCCCTGCACCCTTGAAGCATCCCCTGCACCCATGAAGCATCCCCTGCACCCATGAAGCATCCCCTGCACCCATGAAGCATCCCCTGCACCCATGAAGCATCCCCTGCACCCATGAAGCATCCCCTGCACCCATGAAGCATCCCCTGCACCCATGAAGCATCCCCTGCACCCATGAAGCATCCCCTGCACCCATGAAGCATCCCCTGCACCCATGGCTCACCGTGAGGGCATCGGGGTTGGAGCGGATGAGTGACCGAATGTACGCCTCGAGCTTTGCTGCCAGCAGCTCCCGCTCCTCCGTGTGCTCCCACCGCATCCTCCTTTCAAGGAACTCCGTGAGCAGCACATCGGCGGGCCTGTTCAGCCGTGCAATGCGCGCATCGCCTATGTCTGATAGGCCCACCTCCTGTGGCAGCAGCACCCCTCCCACCTGCCCTTCTCTTGGGTGTGCAGGAGGTGGGAAAGGAGCCGGTACTGTCAGCTGCACTTCCGAAGGGGTTGGGGCGGGAGCGGATACTGAAGGAAGGCCGTTCAACTGCTCATTCAACTGCGTCGGCTGGTTCGACCGTGCAATCTGCTCGTCTCCTATCTTGCCTATGTCGCCCAGACATGACAGCCCCCCCTGCTGCGGCCGCAGCAGCAGCCCTGGAGATGGTGTTTGAGAGGGAGGTTTGGGAGATGCTGTGCGGTTCTGCATGGTAGGACAAGGTTCTGCGGGTGCTGCAGGTGTTAGTGATGACACTGTAGCTGACCCAAGCATCATATGTGCTGCCGTTGCTGCTGCCACAGGTGCTGCTGCTGCTACTAGCAGTGGTGGTGCTGCTGCCACTCCTGCTGCTTCACCAATTGATACTCCCCCCTCTGCTGCCCTTTCCGCAACATACACACCAGGTCTCATACTCCCCCCTCTGGTGGACATCTCTTCTCGCACTCTCCCCCGTGAATCCGAGTCCCCCCTCATGCCCCCCCTCCCCTCGCCTCGCACTCGCGCCCACGCGTCGGCGCGCACAATGGCCTCGGCGAGCTCGTCCTTGCGCAGGGACGTGACCTCGGGGGCGCCCAGCAGCAGCGCGAACAGCTGCAGCGCGCCCTTCTTCTCGCCCTGCAGGTCCTCCAGCGTCGCCTCGTGCGCCAACAGCACGTCCTGCAACGGCTGCCGGGTTGAGGAGGCATTGGGCGACGGGGACCGTGGAGAGGGAACGGGGGGGAGAGATGTGGGAGGTAGCATGAGAAGGTCGTCCCGCGTGGGCTCATGCGCCCCCAGCACGCACTGACACGGCTGGTGGATGGGGGGTGGGAGAGGGAGAAGGGAGGAGAAGGGAGAGGGAGAAGGGAGGGGGTGAAGTGGAAGGATAGAGGGAGGGAGGGGAGGCGAAGGCAGCGCTACCGGAACGAGTTTGTGGTACCTGCACTGCGTGTGGCCCCATCTTCCAGAGGTGCTTCACGTGTGCCTTGAGCGACGCCAGCAGTGCACTGCGGTCCTCCAGCAGATGCCACAGCCGCCTCTCCCTCAGACACTCCCTCAACCTCCCCTCCACCTCCTCCCTGCTCTCCCCTCCTCTCCTCCGCTTACTATCCTGGTACCCATCCCTCCTCTCCTCGCCTTTTCCCTCCTGTGCTGCCTCCAACGAACCACCCTTCCTCTCCTGCCCATGATCATGCAACGCTTTTTGAGGCGCCTCAGAAGAGGTCTTCTCCACCGGCCCCAACAACCCATCGTTCCTCTCCCTTCCCTGGCCTTCTCTGCCTTCTCTCGTCTGATTCTCCTCCGCAGCTGGTTTGCTTCCCTCGATCCTTGCTCGCTTCAACGCTCTCCCTCGCGCTCCCTCCTTTTTTTGTGCCCCTCCTCCTCCTCCCCCTCCTCCTCCTCCTCCTCCTCCTCCTCCTCCTCCTCCTCCTCCTCCTCCTCCTCCTCCTCCTCCTCCTCCTCCTCCTCCTCCTCCTGCTGCTGCTGCTGCTGCTGCTGCTGCTGCTGCTGCTGCTGCTGCTGCTGCTGCTGGTGATGATGCTGTGGCTGGTAACGCTGCTGTTGCTGCTGCTGCTGCTGCTGCTGCTGCTGCTGCTGCTGCTGCTGCTGCTGCTGCTGCTGCTGCTGCTGCTGCTGCTGCTACCGGTGCTGTTTGTACTGCCGCTAATGCTGGTGCCAGTAGTGCTAGCGTTGGTGTTATTGCGGTTGCTGGTGTAATTGTTGGTGTTGTTGTTGTTGCTGCTGATGCTAGTGCTGGTGCTGTTGCTACTGTTGCTGCTGTTGTTGCAAGTGTTGGTGCTGTTGCTGGTATTAATGCTGCTGCTGATGGCGCTGCTGCTGCTAATGGTGGTGCTGGTGGTACTGCTGGTGCCAATGCAACAGTGGCTGGCATTAGCTCCGACCGTAACGGGATTTTATTTCCAATTTCACTAATCCCTGCTGCTGTCACTGCAGCTGCCACTTCTGCGGTCGATGGATATTGCACGAGATTAGCATGAGAAGGAGTAGCAGCGGCAGCAGCAGCAGCAGCAACAGCAGCAGCAGCAGCAGCAGGAGAAGCAGCAGCAGGAGCAGCAGCAGGAGCAGCAGCAGGAGCAACAGGAGTAGCAGCAGGAGCAGCAGCAGGAGCAGCAGCAGGAGCAGCAGCAGGAGCAGCAGCAGGAGCAACAGGAGTAGCAGCAGGAGCAGCAGCAGGAGCAGCAGCAGGAGCAGCAGCAGGAGCAGCAGCAGGAGCAACAGGAGTAGCAGCAGGAGCAGCAGCAGGAGCAGCAGCAGGAGCAGCAGCAGGAGCAGCAGCAGGAGCAGCAGCAGGAGCAGCAGCAGGAGCAGCAGCACCTGTAACAGCAGCCGCTGAGGCAGCACCAACTGTAGCAGCAGAAGCAGAGGCAGCAGCGACAAGTGCAGGAGAGCCACAAGAATGAGAGGGCAGTGCAGGTTGAAGAGGAGGAGGAAGGGCGTCCACAGCAGCATCCGCTGCAGCACCACCAGCATCTGTGACAATGCCTGTAGCAGCACCTGTAGCAGCATCTGCAGTTTGTGTCAAAGCAACAGGGGGAGGGTCAGGAGGAGGATGAAGAGCATTCATGGAGGTAGCATGAGGAGTGGAACAAGGATGAGAGGGCGGAGATACGAAATCAGCCTCTTTCGTTTCCTCCGCCTCATGCTGCTGCCCCCCCTTGTTCTGCTGCTCGTTCCCCCTCTGCAGCGTTTCCTGTTCTTGCATGGCGTCGTTCTGCCCTTCCCTCGCCTCCCCGTCCCCCATGCGCCCATCTCCCGCGCCCCCTGTGCCCACATCGCCCAGCTCCCCTTCCCCTGATCCCCCTTCTCCCAGTTCGCCTTCCCCCATCCCCCTTTCCCCCGTGCGCGCTCCCCCCATCCGCCTTGCCCCATGAACCACAAACTCTGGAGAAGGCCAGCCATACCACGCCCCCCATCCCCCCCCAACCCACTCCCCTCCCCTTCCCCGTAACTCCCCCCCTCCCCTCCCAAATCTTCCGCCCACCCCCCTTCCTCTCCCGCCTCCCATCCCCCTTCCGCTCCCCCCCAGTGGGTGAACCCCCCCGTACGCGTGCGGGGGAAGATGAGCATGCGGGGGGGTTGGCGCATGGGCGGAGATTAGCGCATTGGGAAAGATTCCCCCGGGCGCGTGGGGGGGGATTTGCGCATGCGGGTGCGGGGCGGTTGGCTCGTGCGGGGGGGTTGGCGCATGGGGGAAAACCAGCGGGGGGTATCCGCCGTAGTCGTACCACCCTGGGGGAGCATAGTGCGGCGGCGGATAGTGATAGTACGGCGAGGGCGCTATATACGCGTATGGGGGCGGCGGACCCTGCGGAACCGGCGGCCCTGGCGGAACAAGGGGGAATGAATGCGCGGAGAGGAAGGGTTCTCTTGGCGCAGATTGGGGCGGCGGGGTCCGCGGTGCTTGTTGCGGGGGGAAGCGGGACGGAGACTCCGCCACGTCGTGTTGGGGGGTTCGCGCAGGGGAAACGGGGAGGGCGGTGGCGGAGGGATCGAGTGAGTCATGCGATGAAGTCATCTCAGAAAGTAAAGAATTGTCGGAGGCTGTTGGATGTGTTCTCTGTAACGGGTAACGAGGTGACTTTTGAGTCGACTCACAAGTCACCTTGTAGCGGGTAATCCGTAAACTGCCAAAATGTTGCTACAAGGGTCTTCAGAGGCTGGGATTCCTGGTGATTCAAGAAACGCGTATCGCGCCGTCTGTTCCTGGGCTGGGAGCTTCCAACAGCTTCCACCATCGGCTAGGGCGTTTAGTACTGAACTATCCATGTGAGCTTCCGAACTGGTCGGTCGAGTAACCCGAGCCGACTTTAGGGCGTGGAACACCGACCAAACGAAATGGTCCACTATTTGGGCGGTTCTGACGATTGAGAAGTATTCAGTGACCACAAATTAGAATTGCGTAGTAGTGTTACGAGTGCAATTGAGTGAACGAACGAGAATTGCACTATCGAAGCAAGAGTACAATGAGCGAAGGCATGAGCGAAGAATATATAGCGAAACTACAGTGGTAACGGTAATGGACTGTGGTTGTCGCGCGACGGGCCTGGGACTGAGGTTGGGAAAAGTGTCGAAGCGGAGGCCCGGAGCGCGGGTTACCCGCCGAGCCGTGAGGTCGGGGTGCGACGTGCGAAGGTGGCGGGCGGATTGTCGATGCGAGGATTGCGAGTGGTAACGGTGCTGACTGTGGTGCTACAGTGATGTACGCGTTGAGCAGTGACGCGAAGTAAGGAAAAAGAGATTTTCCTTACACTACCCCCCCCCTTAAGGAGGTCCTCCTTACGAAAGTGCGTATACATCCCTGAAATTCCGGCTGCGCAGATACTCGGTGAGGACGGGGTGGTTTTCGATTCTGTCCAGGGGAACCCAATTGTCTTCGGTGGGTGTACGGTCCTTCCAGCGGAGTAAGAACTCGATCCTTCGGGCTCCTCGAGGGTCGCGAACTCTGTGACTCAGGATTTTCTCGGGGGTGATGATTGGTTCAGTCGGTGGTCTTGTCATGCTGGCTGGGCGATTGCGTGGCAGTTGGTTCGTGGACGGGACGTAAGGGCGAAGCAGGCTGACGTGGAACGAGGGGCTGACGTACCAGTCAGCAGGGAGGAGGAGGTGGGCGGTGACAGGTGTAAGCATGTGGCTTATGCGAAATGGCCCGCAGTATCGGGGGCGGAGTTTCGGGGTGATGGGCAGTCGGAGATTTTGGGTGTCGAGCAAAACTAAGTCGTCGGGCTGGTAAGTGACAGGTCTGCGGTGGCGGTCGGCGTTGCGTTTAGCGATGATGTTAGCTTTTTTAATTGCGTCTGCTGCCCTGGTCCGTGCTGCTTGCAAAATTTCGGCGAACTGTTGCGCGCGTGGAACCGGGTTGTCGGGATTCGGGGTCATGGGTACTGTTGGGTCTTGTCCGTAATTCAGGTAAAACGGTGACTGTTGGGTTGTGGCGGATGGGGCGTTGTTGTATGCGAATTCGATGAGTGGCAGTTGCTGTTCCCACGTGTTTGGGTCGTCGCACGTGACCCGGATGAGCTGTTCCATGGTCTGATTTGTCCGTTCTGTCTGTCCGTCTGTTTCGGGGTGGTACGATGAACTAAACTGTAGTCGCGTGCCGAACTGCTGCCACAGGTTCCGCCAGAAGTTGCTGGTGAATTTCGTGTCTCTGTCGCTGATGATTGATGCTGGTATCCCGTGCAGTCGAACGACGGTAGAGATGAAGAGGCGGGCTGTTTCTTCGGCTGTGATTGATTTTTTGCAGGCTGCGAAGTGTGCCATTTTCGTCAGTCGATCGACGACGACCAGGATCGCGTCATTTCCACTCGCCCCGGCCGGTAACCTCGTGACGAAGTCCATCGTCACTTGCTGCCAAGCACGCTCTGGAGGTGGGATTGGCTGTAACTGTCCCGCCGGCCGCTTCCGTGTTGACTTCATGATCTGGCAAGTGGGACACGATGCCACGTGTCGCTGCACGTCGGTCAACATTTCGGGCCAGTAATAATACCGCTGCAGCTGCTGCCGTGTTTTCTCTACCCCGAAATGTCCCGAGGTAACCCCGTCGTGTGCCTCTTGTAATAGTAATTCCCCGTAGCAGTGTGTACCCTGGTACCCAGATGCGGTCGGTCCCGGTTTTTACGTAATAGACTCCCTTGGCTGCTGCGAACTGCTGCGAATTTCCTCCTGTGAAGAATAGGTCCGTTTGATATCCGTGGGTAAATAGTCCTGTCAGTAGCGGGCTGGTCTGGGCGAGTAGTATCGCGTGGATCTGGGCAGTGGGGCGGGTCAGTGCGTCGGCGATGTTCGAGGCTCCTTTTTTATAGGTGACTGTGTAGTGGAAGTTTGACTCGAGGAAATCGAGCCACCGAATCTGTCGTGGGTTGAGGTGGGGCTGTGCGCGGAGGTACTGTAGTGATCGGTGGTCTGTCCGTACTGTCACGTCTGCGCCGGTCAAGTAGCAGCGCCACACTTTGAACGCATGCACGATCGCGAGCATTTCGCGGTCGTGTATCGGGTAATTTCGCTCAGGCGGATGCAGTTTTCGTGACTCGTATGCGATGGGCTGTAGGCCGTTGCCGAAGTCCTGTAGCAGTACGGCTCCAATGGCGATGTCGCTTGCGTCTGTAACAACCTCGAAGGGGCGGTGTGGGTCGGCGATGCGCAGGACGGGCGGTGAACAGAGAACATTTTTCAGGGCAGAGAAGGCAGCATGCTCTTTCTCCCCCCACGTAAAAACGACCCCCTTTCGCAGTAAATCCGTCAGCGGGGCAGTCAACTGTGCCATGTCGGGGACGAACCGACGAACATAATTAACGAACCCTAAAAAACTCTGCAGTTCCGTGATGTTCGTCGGGGGACGCCACGCTTTTACCGTATCCAGCTTCTTTGGGTCGATTTCAACTCCAGCCTCCGAAATAACGTGCCCCAAAAATTCTAGTCTGTCCCGAAAAAACTCGCACTTAGAGCCCTTGGTGAGTAACCGATGTTCCTCTAAAACTTTAAATACTGCTACGAGATCCGCTAAGTGCTGCTGCTTGTCGCGACTGTAGACGAGGATGTCGTCGAGGTAAACTATCACGCATTTATCTAAGAGTGGCCTAAACGCCTCGTTCATGGTCATCTGAAATGTTGCGGGCGCGTTGGTCAGCCCGAAAGGCATCACCGTGTACTCAAACGACCCGTACCTAGTCCTAAATGCTGTCTTGGCGCAGTCCGATGGTTCGACCCGAATCTGATGGTAACCCCCCCGTAAGTCTATTTTCGAAAACACCCGTGCTGTTCGCAGTTGGTCGATCATTTCGTCGGCGCGGGGAATGGGGTACCGCGACTTGACTGTTACCCTGTTGAGCGCTCGGTAATCGATGCACATGCGAAACCCTCCGTCTTTTTTCGGTGTGAACAGTATCGGTGCGGCGAACGGTGACGAACTTGGTCGAATAAACTGCTTCTCTAACAAATAATCTAACTGCTTCCTCAGTTCGTCGAGCTCGGGCTGTGTCAGTCTGAACTGGCGCTGTACAGTTGGCTGTGCCCCCGGTTCTAACTCGATCCTATGATCATGCGCCCGCTGAGGTGGCAGCCCTTCCGGAAAGTCGTCTGGAAAAATCCCCGGGTACCGTTTCAACAGTTCCTGTAGTTCGGGCGGTATTGCTGCCAACAGTTTCTGAAAATCGCTCGGCTGCTCCGCTTCTCCTACTAATGCTATATCTACTGCGTACACGTCAGCTCCAGCGGCGACAACCCGTTTCATCGTGATGGCGTTGACGTGGACCGTTGAGGACTCGGGCGACTGCCAGCGAGGTAGCATGACCCAGTTACTGCTACTTCGCACAGTGCAGCTACCCGTCGTCCAGTCGATTCGTGGGTTGTACTGTCGTAGCCAATCACGTCCCAGTAAAACATCATGCCCATCCAATGCCGTCGCGAGCATTTCCTGTGTAAACCCGAAGTTTCCCCCGCAGCGAACTTTTACTCTCTCCACCTTCTCCCGTATGGCCAGCGGCGTGCCATCAACTAAGCGTGCGTCGATCTCAGGTAAGCAGCGACTAAGTGTCAGTTGTAATTTTCGCGCAGTTGCGGTATTAACTAAACTGTGGCTTGCTCCTCCGTCAATAAAAATCTCCACTGCTGCTCCCTGTATTTTCCCGTGGATCAGTTTTGGGCAATCCGTCGTTGTACCCTCCTTATTCATCCGAGCCCGATCGATGGCGTGAATCGGTACTGTGACTCGGTGAGGGTCGGTGTGGTTGGGCGAGCAGGCAGTCTCGTCAGTAGTTGGCCCAACTTCTACTGACTGCTGGCGTTTCCCTGCCTCTGAGACTCCCTCCCCTGCTCTGCTCCGCGGCGCCTTAGCTCCTCTGGGCATTCGCTCTTGCGATGGCCCGGCCTGTTGCAAGCAAAGCAGCGCCCCTTAAACGGTGCGGCAGCTGCATTCGTTGCAACAGCGTTTACAGTGGCGTGCTCGATCGGTCCCCGAGGACGATGTCCGTAGTAGGACCCCGGTCTCGGTCGGCGTAGAATGTCGATTTTCTCGGCGAGTGCGAGAATCTCGTTGAAGTTTAAGAGTCCGCGCAGCATGATTTTGTGCGAGATATCCGGCTTCAGCCCTCCGACGTAACGGTCCACCCGCTCCGCTTCGTGCATGTAGCCGACCTGCTCGCAAAGTGCGAGAAAACCGCTCGTGTAATCTTGAACCGACCCGAGCTGCCGCCAAGTGCGCAATCTATGACGCGCCGAAATAGAAGCCGCGATCGGCTCGAAGCGCGCCCGAAGCCCTGCGCACCACGCATCCCACGTGCTGTATTGGGCGGTCTCGCAGAATGAACTCCAGGTGACAGCTGGACCCGTGGGCCCTTCCTCTTGCGACGGTGGCTCGTAGGCGCGTGGCGACGTCACGATGACTCGCCACCAGTCCATGGCGGGGCCCCTTAACAGCGAAACGGCATACCGAATCTTCGCTGCGTCCGACTCGACGTAATTCGCGTCAAAGAAGACGTTCATCGTGAAAACCCACGATTGAACCGTTGGACCTCCACG